AAAAAAATGAGTACAATTGATTGGATTGAAAATGAATTCTTGCGTGATTTTTTCTCTGTTGAATTGGTGGAATGTCGTTCACTGCGGGACAGTGGAGCCGACGGTAAATGTGTGTTGTGTCGTTTACGATTTGAGTGAGAGTAAGTTGTTCATGGCTCGAATTGAGACACGATTCGATACGTACTAATACGGTTGACAATTCTTCGTATGTTAGTCGTGTGCCTTCGATGATGCGCTTCAAGTGGTACTTTGTTGACTTAACGTTGGCTTCCCACAAGCCACCGAAATTGGGTGAATGAGGCGGATTGAAATACCATTGGATGCCTCTTTCAGCGAGCTTTGGTACGATATCTGATTCAATTGATTTGGCATTGAGCGCATTGTCTGCCCCAATGAAATTGGTGCCGCTGTCGCTGAACATGTGTTGGCACAGACCTCTGCGGCCGATGAATCGATGTAATGCACAAAGAAAATGTTCGGTTGACATACCTGTCACTGCTTCCAAATGGACTGCTTTCGTCGCGAGGCAGATGAACACCACAATGTATCCTTTGTATGTAGTGTTTCCGCGATACTTTGATGATTTCAGTTCGATGGCACCGGTGTAATCAACACCCGTCGCTACAAACGGTCTCGTCGGTGGATTGACTCGATGATATGGCAAATTTCCCATCAATTGACTCGATACTTCAGGTTTGCTTCGAAAACATGTTACACATTTCCGTAGGCGAGATGCAACGGTTTGTCGGCCGCTGACCAACCAATATTGATGACGCAAATGTGCTAACGTGAGCGACACACCTCCATGCAATGTGACTTCGTGCGAATGATCGATAAGCAATCGAGTGAAGTGATGACTCTTCGGCATGATGATAGGGTGACGTTGATCGTACGGCAAATTTGAACGCTGTAATCTGCCTCGAATGATATTGTTCTGGTCGATGAATGGAGCCAAACCTCTGATTCGACTGTTGGTTGGCAGCGATTCGTTCGCTTGAATGGTGTGAATTTCTTTGCCGAATGCTTCACGTTGAACTAACTGAACCAATTTTAATCGACTGTGGTTCATTTCGATGACCGACAGTAAACCGCATCGTCGATTGTTTCGATTAGTCTTTTGACTGTTGTGCCGAAAACGAAAAACCCATGCGACGACACGAATCAAGGTGATTAGCGATGAATAGTGGAATACAATTGATTCAGTGGGTATGGTAACGTGCACATGAACGGCATTTGTTTTGGCTTCGAGTGTGACATCATCGAACTTGTGCTCTTTGTTGTTGAACTTCGGCCATACGTCGGGTGATTGAGTGAGCCAAGTCGGTCCTTTCCACCACAAATCAAACGTCGCCAATTCGGATGGCGTCAAACCTCGAGTGGCACAATCAACTGGATTGTCCTTTGTATCTACATGATTCCACATATTAGTTGATGAGATCGATAGAATTTTACTCACCCGATTTTCAACGTATGTTTTCCATCGAGTGATATCGCCGTGTATCCAATGCAAAACGATTGTGGCATCACTCCAAAAGTAAATCGGTACGTGATTGAAGTCAACGCGGAGATTTTTCTTCACCCAAGCAGCCAATCTCGTTGCTAATTCCGCGCCGCAAAGTTCCGTCCGAGGAATTGTGAGCGGTTTTGTTGGTGTAATTTTGCTTTTGGCTATAATCAAGTGCGTATGAACCCGTTCGCCTTCGGCTTGAAGACGAATATAAACATTCGCATAAGCGCTCGATGATCCGTCACAAAACACATGCAACTGAATTGATTGATTCGGTGAATAACTTATCCAACGCGGGATGGAGATTTGATTAATCGATGGTAATTCGCTGATGAATTGTCGCCACTGTGAACAGAGCGGCTCAGGAACTGGTTCATCCCAGCTCAATTTTGATCTCTCGTCGTTTTCATCGGCTGATGTTTTGTGACGAAAATTCCAAATTCGTTTGAGAATCATTTTTGCTGCGACGATCATCGGTGCAATGAATCCCATTGGATCAAAAAGACGTGCGGTGGTGGACAATACCGAACGTTTGGTGATATTCGTTGGTAAATCGAATTTGATGGTGAATTTAAAAACGTCGTCGCTCGGCTTCCAACACATTCTCAATGTCTTGACCGTTTCGTTGCTATCCATATCCAAGAGCGTGCTACTGCACTGATGTTCTTTTGGAATTGATTCGAGCAATTCTGGCCTGTTACTTGCCCATTTTCTCAACTCTATACCAGCTGACGCAAGTGCACCTGTGACGTGATCACGTATGGCGAGTGCATTTTCAATCGAATGACTACCGGTTTGTACGTCGTCAACATAAATTTCATTTTTTAGCACATTCTCGGCTAACGGATATCGCTCTTTCTCGTTTTCAGCGATGAGATGAATCACACTGATGGCAATACATGGGGCTGGCGCTGTGCCAAATGTGACGGTGGTAAGACAATACTCTCGGATCTCACTCTTTTCGTCTCGCCACAATATTTTTTGATATGCGATGTCGTCGGGATGCATGTCGATGCATCTATACATCTTCTGTATATCGCACGTGAATACGAACTTGTTCAACCTCCAATTCAGAATTACGGATGGTAATTCATTTTGTAGCGCTGGTCCGACGCACAGAATGTCATTCAGAGACTTTCCGTTCGATGTTTTTGCCGAAGCATCCATCACGATTCTCAGTTTGGTTGTTAAACTGTCTTCCTTCAAAACGTGGTGATGGGCCAAAACGCATGCACTAACCGTGAACTGATTGACTTCGTTGAATGTGCAATGGTGTTCTTCTGTGGTAGTGGATGGAAGAATCTGATTTAATTCAAAATATTCGTGCATACCTTTTGCATAACGTTCCATCAAACCCTCTTTCCGTTGAAGCCTTCGTTCGAGCTGATGAAATTGATTGAGAGCGATTTGTCGAGAGCGCCCTATCGTTTGAGTTGGGTCGAAGATGGTTTTGAATGGTAATCGCACCAAATATTTTCCGTTGGGTTGCCGAACTGTTGTCCGTTTGAAGAAGTCCATGAACCATTGATCTTCTTGAGAAAGTACACGCTCTTCGGGCACTTGTTCGTTATCGTAGAATTTCCGTACAAGTGTATCAAGTTGAGCGTCGACTGTAGTGTGAAAACAGCGTACAGAATTTTTAATTTTGCCGTGCGGTGACACGGTCGTTGAATCAGAAGCCGGCGGCTCTGTGTTTCCAAACAAAATCCATCCGAAATGAGAATTTTGTGCAACTGGATGACCTGGTTGACCGATGCGTTGATCAGGTAACAGTATCGCAGCTTGCATTTCGGTACCGATGAGCAGGTCGATTTCACCTACCTTGAAATACGTTGGATCGGCGAGGACAAGTGTTCGAATGTGTGGCCAATCCTGTGGAACAATTTCTTTGCTCGGCAACGGTCCCGTTATTCGATCCATGACGAATACCATGTTGACAAATGTTTCGAAATTTTCATTGAGATTGGACTGCAATGGAAAAACTTACGTATTCGGTGCTGACATTCGAATTAACATCGACTCCATCGACGTAAACCCAAAGCGTTAGCACCTCGCCGAGTGATAAGCGTTCCTTCTGAAGCTTACTTATCGATCAGATAAGAGCGCGCAGCACTAATTTTCTTCCCGTGACAACGTTGATGACTGGAATTAATGCTGTGGCCAAGAGAACCTTGGGCGGTTCTTTATTTTCCAGAGCCATACTGGTAGTGAGGGTCTGAATCCGTCGGACAGGTTGTGTATTTACCGTAGTCGCAGCGGAATTACTGTTGAAAGTGAAATGTAGGAGCGTGTGGTGACGGCCTCCACATTGCTGACAATTTCTCTGGCTTGAGCACTGGCTCATGAAATGAGCGCCACTCATACAATTAAGGCACAATTTATTTCTGTCGACGATAGCCTTTCATTCGAAGCAGTCTTTGGCTAGAAAAGCTGGGCATTTTCGAAGGATATGATTACCTTCACACACAACACACTTATCCACCTTTGCTTGAGTAGCGGTATTGTGAAATGATTTTCGTTCAAATCGTTGATTTCCGAAAGAATTGTTCGGTTTCGGTTGATCAATTGATTTGATTGTATTCAATGCACCTTGCATAACGGTGTTTCGATTTTCCATCACATCGACGGTGATTGCGCGTTGACTCATAAATGTCTCAAAATCCGTAAAAGTTGGTATATCGGTACGACTTCCGAGATAAGATTCCCATTTCGAATGAGTTTCCTTTGGTAATTTTGTCACTAAAAGATAAACTAACCAGTGATCACTATTGTCAATCGGAATTTCTGAACGACGCAATTCGTTACGACACACATTCGCGGTATTAAGTAACTGTTTCAAGTCTTCCGAACGTTCCTTTTTTATTATCGACATCGCGAATAATGTATTCATTTGACTAGTATGCAAAATACGCGGAATGTTATACCGTTTCACAAGCGTGTCCCATGCCGTAGTGTAGTTTTGTGCACTGAGCGGCATTAAATGAATGTCTTTGTCGCAGTGTGGTGGCAAACCTAACTTCAAGATAAAAAGAATTACATTGGTAATCCCGAACTTTTCCGTACCGTTGGCCTGCGTTGTCCATAGGTACTTTTGGTTATTTTTTGTGAATTTTCTTGAAATGAAGCAGTATTGTTGGATAGGCTGAACAATTGTCCACTTTTGCATAAGCTGGCGTAAGCGAACACAAATTATCCAGCTGTCAAATGACGTCAAACGTATTTAAACGCATTCATTGCTTATGGTTGGCTTACGCTTACATTCTGCATAAGCCAGTGAATGGACTACGGTGGCGTATGCCATTCCATCACTGAAATAAAGGCAGTGAAAATATAATAATAAAAATAAAGTGAAAAATCGGTCACTTTAACTAAAACTTCGACAATTTTGTATGAGAGGTACCCGTAAACCGATTCTCATTGACTTTAAACTTTCTGAGGTTTCATTTTTTGAAGAAAAAAAAAGATTCTGAAAGTTTCATGTGGATCGCATTTGCAGAAGATTGGTTTTTGGCCCTCAATTTTTTCCAAGAAAATGTCGACAAAAATTGAGGACAAAAAATCAAACTTTTGCAAATGCGATCAACATGAAACTTTCAGAATCTTATTTTTTCTTTAAAAAATGAAACCTCAGAAAGTTTGAAGCCAATCAGAATCGATTAGCGGGTACCTCCCATGCAAAATTGTCCAAAAATCGGTAATTTTAGACAAAATTTCAAAAAATTTATATGGGAGGTACCCGTAAATCTAATCCGGTTGGTTCCAAAATTTCAGAATCTTATTTTTCTCTCGAAGAATGAAATCCCAGAAAGTTTGAAGCCAATCGGAGTCGATTTACGGGTACCTCCCATACAAAAGAGTCAATTTTTTGAGGTTTTTCTTAGGGCAAGTATCCCAGGATCAAATCGGAAATGGCTCATCTTCGAACTCAAACTAAGTTTTTCGAATACAAAACTTTTGGCATTTCCAGATTTTGATTATCTCAATTATTTTTTGAGTTATCGTGTTTACAAACAGCTACGACGACAACGACGACAACGACGACGACGTCTCAAAAAGTGGTTTTCTACGCGTTTCATGAGTTTTTATGATGATCTAAACCAATTTTGCGAACAAAAGTTTTCGGGACCAATTCCTATACTTTCCCTTGACACGTTGTGTACGGAAAAATAAAATGAAATTTTTGAATCGCATTGAGTGCCATATTTTGATGTATCAATCGACTAAATGCATCTTGAAATTCAGTCCAATCGGCTGTAACACCCGAAAACTTTGGATTTGGAATGTCGGGAAAATGTACCGTTGATATGGGTTGACTTGGCATCACTGCCGATGTGACATTCACTTGACGCTATTTGAAATCGATGATGAACTCGTAGCCGGCGGATACCGTGTGCCACGGTCGGTAACTAACGCACAATACACATCGAAGTACAACTCTTCAAAATTGACCGAAATATCGTCTTTGAAATAACTCTCATCCGAATCGAGTGCATTGCACACTATGACTTTATGTGAGGCTCTAAATTCCGTCGCCAACTCGTCGATTTGATTGAGACGACGCACAAAATAAGCCGGTGTTTTTTATTAGTTGCACACTTTCCATAATTGGTTTCAACTTGCTTCAATTGTTTAAACCGATTGCAATTTTATCAAATCTTCTGCCGAAAACGACAACTCCGTTATTTGCGATGTGTTGGACATCGTTCTGCGTTGTGCCCTTGCACTGACTTTGACGTTGAATGTAAACGAACGATTTGAGTCGGTGTGTGACGATGACTTATGCAAGTAGTCGGCAAGCATTCTGAATTTTCTGCAATAAACATGCAAATGTTTCCTGCAACCTCTTGTGCAAGACAGCCTTCAGATGCG